TGTGCTGGGAGTCAAACCCAAGCCTTTGAGTACACTAGGCAAAAATGGTCCAACACTGAGTTACATAGCTGTTTATACATTTTATTGAAAGCTGCTTTAGATTAGTTTTGGCATCAGACAAGGAATTAACTATCAAAATGTAAACAATTCAAGTTGCAGTGAACTCCAAATTACTTAGCAGTATACATTTCTACTGCTTCTTGTCTCCTACTCAATCTGAAATTAATTTCCAGAAAGAATTCAGAGCATATATTCTATATTTTCTTTTTTTTGCTTAATTTGTCATCACTACTGAACAAGTACATTCTAATGATATATTCTAACGGGAAATGATAAATCTATCTATGTATCTATCTATCTATCTATCTATTTATTTATTTATTTATTTGGTACCGGAGATTGAACTCAGGACCTTGCGCTTGCGAGGCTAGCGCAGAGAAATGATAATTTTAAAAGAACAGAATATGTAAATCTCACAGCTGTCAGGTCTTTGACTATCTTGTGCTCATTTTTCCTTGCCTTCTTCCAGTGAGAGAATATTTTCCTTGTAGCTAAGTGAGAGAAGTTCTTTTATGTTTACATTGTTTTTGCTCCCATCTGAATCTACCACCAGTTTTTTTTTGTATTTTTTAAAAAAATTTTTTCTGATCTCAGAACTGGTCACACCAGGTCACCATGGGCCTGCATTGCATTCTGGGACGCACTTTATGAGAAGCTGGGCAAACTGAAGAAACTGGACTGGAAAGTGAGGAGGCTTGAACCTGTGTGATGCAAGAAGAGGTTGAGAGCATGAAGATTTTAATCCGGGGTACTCTAAGGGGAAGGGGTGGTCAAGGGAGCTGCTTTGCAGTTTTGAAGAGTTGTTATGCGTGAGACTGACTAGGAGTCTTAGGCACAGCCTCAAGGGGAAGAATTACACCTGGAGGGTGCTGACGTCATCTGGAGCTGTCTCTGGTACAGTTTTCTAGCTCTGCAGGTGCTCAAACCCAAGCTGCTTTTTGAGGCTGCGCTTAAAAGATAGTTGCGTTAAACTTAAATGTTGTTTTATAACTCAGGATATTTTTTATACTTACCTGCTGGATCTCTGCATGTAACATTCTCTCCCTTTTCTGTAGTTGGATGATGTCTTAAACCTCTTACTATTTTCTTTATGTGTAATACACCTTTCTTTGCTGTTGCTTAAATGAAAGTCCATTCCTTACATTTATATTAAGTTGGGTGGTTGGAAAAGAGTTTCTTCCATTATCTTTCTTCATAAAATGTAAAAGCATGCCTTTATTATGAAACTACAACACCTAGGAACCTTGACCTCATGATAGTTGAGGGAATAATGTGTTTTATGATCTCATTAGCACCTCGGTATGTATGCGGGTGCTGCATGTGCACTGTCTTGTTCACATTTTTCTTCTAGAATTTTAAAATACTTTTACATTGTGTGGTTTTGAGAGATTCGATTGTACTGACATTTACTTTTCTTTAATGTAACATTAAAAAGATTACTTATAGCAATTTGTTACATTAAAATTTTTACTATAATATTCATACGATAAATATGTTAAGCAAAAACTTTTAAATTTTCATTTATCATAAGGATTTCTATGTGTTACGTTGCAGTTCATCCCTCATCACCAACATAGGATTCTATGAAAAAAATAAATGAATTTTGTAAATTCATTTTAGAAAATAACACCAGAGTATTCAGTTAAGTTTGGCTTCTCTGAAAATGTAGACTTGGAGCTCTTTTCATGAGGTTGTTTATGAAATTCAGAATGTATGCACTGAATGAGAATTCAAACTTCTATTTTTTGAAGACAATTTTATGATGGTAGTGATCAAACCCAACACTCTACCACGGAGCTACACCCTTAGCCCTCTACTTCTATTTTTTGAGACATGGCCTCGCTGACTAGTTTAGGGGGTCTTGAACTCACTATGTAGCTCAGGGTAGTCTCCAACTTGAGACAATCCTCCTGTCTTGGCTTCCTGAGGGGTGTAGCACCATGCCTAGCCCCTACTTTTTTTTTCATTATATACAAAAAGTTTATTTTAGAAGTCACATACTTTAAAAATAACATGTAAGTTCTCATTCATATAGGATTATTATTCATCTTTTGAATGCTAGGGTGTTATGTGGTACAATTAATAAGGTAAGAATACCAAGTCCATATTCTTGGCATTTACAATAGCTCAAAATAATTAATGGGACTTTTGAAAGGAAAAACAAAAGAAACTATTTTGGAAACATACAGAATATCTTGTAAATGTTAAGTCTTGGAACTACAAAGCTGTTGCTAGGACTAGTCTAAAAACTGAAAAGCAGGCTTTATTATTTTATGAACAACTAAAGATGATTCAATGGAACCTGCATCAGGAGCTCAGTGTGGTTACTAGAGAAATGTAAATCTGCTTTAGTTTCATACTTTGAAAGCAACAGGGAAGGCAAAAAAGAAGTGGGGTTTTGGTTGGTAGAACTGGTATCTTTGTTCATATTCAGCAGCTTTCTTTTAATCTCATGTAAGTGGCATCCACAGATGGCCAAGATCAAATATGAATGTTAGAGAATCAGGATGCAAGATAAAACTGTAAATATACCCTCACTATGGACAAAAAATATAGTTCCGTGGAAATCTGCCAAAGCCCTTTAACATGGCAAGAATGCTTAAAATGTTAGCCCCTACTTTTAATGCACTTTTTTCTAGTACAAGACTTAGATAAAAAAATTCTTAGAGAACTTGAGTTTAGATTCTACAAGACTTTTAAATAAGCAACTTTGCAAATAGATTTTCATCACTGGATTTATATGTTTTTTGAGAGATTCATACACTTTGTTTTCCTACATTTTTCACATAAAAATCTCAATTAGAATTCTTTCAATAATGATTTGAATTGGCCAACATGTTTGTTGACATTAAGATTTGGGAGAGTAAACATCAGGTAAAATTCCACTGAGCTTGGACAATATATTTGAGAGCTGGATTGCATCTCCACAGAGTTTACTGCTCATTACACTTATCTTTTCAGAACTTTTACAACTTTAAAAACTTTTAAGATATTTTTCTTCATTATATGAAAATGAGGGGATGTTAGCAGGTGCTTTTAGTAGTTCTTTCAGCTTTACGTGACTCTGAGGTTAGAGTTTAAAGATTTAGATGTTAGTATAAAACAGTGTTGTTTTTAACTGTTTTACAAGGACATATTTGGTTAGAATAACTGAGATGCTCTGAATAATTTTTCTGAATATAAAAGTAATATTAGTTTATCGTTTTTGCGCCTGATTAGCCTTTGAAGAGACCCCAAAAGCAGGCTAATGGCCAAAGACACTGAGTTGAGCTTCACTCCCTGAAAGTCAGTCAGTCCCCTCCTCGGGTGTGCGTCCCCTTTTTTCCTAGAAAGAAGCCACAGCGAAGAAAAAGGCGGGTACTAACCGGTTCCGGAGGAGCCCTCAGAGCGCATGCTCTCTGGTAGTGGGGCTGTAGCGCCATTTTCGTATGAAGAGCTGAGGGCTAATTAGGCAGGTCCAGGGGACACCCGCTTTAAAGTTGTTCAAACTGAAGGAAAGAGCCATGCTTGGAAACGAGTCAAAGGCCTTTTTGCAAGGGGCCCCACCTCCCTGCAGCGCTGTAGCTGCGACTACGCAAAGAAATTCTTTTGGGCTAATTTCCCTTGGGGACATATTTTTTCCTCCTCTTCCTCCACCCAGGGTGGACTATAGCGGTCCCGCCCTCGCCCACTCAGGGCCAGAGCAAATATAAAGATCAGGAATTTGTGATGATTTTGTGCTCACAGTGGTGGCCCAAAGGAGAGGCCAGGAACTGATGGGAAGGAATCTCCCCCACTACCGTGAGAACAAAGCCCGAGTTCTATCAGATCTAATTTGTGTAGAGAAAATCAGCCCGTGGACGTTTGGGCTAAGAGGTAGCCCCCCCCCCTTTCTCTTTCAAACAAAGTTACATGTTGGGAGCAATGCTACATAATTCTAGGGAAAAATCATGTGGTTGCCTAGTTCTCTGCCTACAGCCAAGCTACAGAATAACTCCAGTTTGGCCTCCGGTCACAACTGAGACTTCAGTGATCCAGTGATGCTGTGATTCTCCAGGACAAGAAACATCCTGGGAGAACAAACATCTGCACAGTTCCTCATTGTTCTTGGACTGATTAACATCTTGTTTGCCGGAGATGTACTGAACTCTCTGCAAGCCTTCCGTTACACCTTGTTTATCCCAATGTGAACTATTGAACTCTCTGCAAGTCATTTGTTACATTTGTTTCTCCCGATGTACTGAATAAAAGGTGTGGTAAGCTGGGGGCTTTTGTCTTTGCTGCCCAGAGCAGCACTGATCAGACCCAAAGCTCAGCTTCTTCTCAGTCTCATTCTCTACCTTTCCTGTAATTCGCCGTGTGCTGCCGTGGCTCGCAGGAGCCCAGGACTCATTGCAGAAGTTCTGGTAACGTCCCCATCCCCTGTCCCCTACAGTTACAGAGCCTTTAGTGGGCGGGTTTGGGGATGGTTAAAGGTTAGCTGGAGATAGGGCGTGAAGAGCTGAGCTTTCTAAGTGTGTGCGCGCGCGCCCACACAAAAGTTTAGAAGAACACGGGTGAGTGGGGCGCGAGAGAAAGACGGAAAGAAACAGGAAAAAAATCTGGAGAGGGAGAGGACTGTAGGGGCAGGAGAGGAAGGAGGACCCGCGACATCCACTCTCAGCCCCACCGTTTCATTCATAAGTTCCAGGCGTGCAGGCCCCGCCCGGCCCCCCTGGGCCGAGGCCCCCGTTTCCCGTCCAGCCATTGGTGAACGGCAACAAAGCCTTAGCAACCGGTTCCCAGTGACCCACCCTCCGGGCGCCGGGTAACCCGGGCTCCGGCCAGCTCTGAGAAAGGAGTGGGCTGTCCCTTTAAGGGATGGCCGCGGAGCCGTGAAAGGGGGGGGCAGAGGGAGGGTGGGGAGGAAGGTCTGGGGGCGGGCCCAGGGGGAGGAGGGCGACGAGGAGGAGGAGGAAGAGTTGCTGCTGAAAGGAGGTGGCGGAGGAGGAGCCTACCAGCTCCTGCCAGCCCGCGGGCACCAGAGGGCTGCCCGCTGCCCCGCGAGTAGCCACGGGCGTGATCTGGGCCGGACGTGTCCTGCTCCACGATCACTTTGGAAGCCGGGGGAAGACTTTGCCCGCCCGGTCTGCACTGGTCTGCGTTCCCCGGGCGCGGCGGCCACCGCTGAGCAGCAAGGACAGCAGCCGCCGGGTCCCGAGCGGAGCGGCCACAGCCGGGGGCGTGTGCACCCTGCGCGCGGCGGGCTCCCGGGCCCCACGGAATGTCCCCCGGGCTCCCGGCGCGCTGACCCCGCGGCCGCCTCCGCTCCGGCGCGCTCCCGGCTCGGGACTGCGGGCTCCCGGCTCTTGGGCAGTGGGGAAGCCCCCGGGGGCGGGTGACCTCCTCGGGCCACGACCCAGCCCTCCCCCGTGCGTATCTCGCTTAGGATGGCAGCGGAGTCAGGGGAACTAATCGGGGCTTGCGAGTTCACGAAAGGTGAGGAGCAGCCGCCCCCCACCCTGCAACCCTTCTACCTCCCCAACTCTTCTCTTGCCCCTTCGTCCCGACCTCTGCCCCTGGCGTCTCCTGGTGCCTCAGTATCCTGCTGCTGTGGCGCGCGCACTCGGGTCCCCTCTGCTCCTCTGCTGTCCCCGAGGACCCCTTGCTTCCGGCTTCTCTTTCTTTCGTCCCTCGTTCCCTCCGCGGCGCCCTGCTAGTGGGACAGAGCCGGCTTCTGCCTGGGCTCCTTCATTTGGCAGCTCGTGGAGATTTTGCTCGGGTTAATCCTCTCGGGTGTCCTTTACCCCACCATGGTTGGCCTAGGTTTTCGGGACAACCCCAACCACACCCCCCTGTCTCTCCTGCCTTCCTCTTCTTGAGGTCTCCGGAGCTGCAGGGGAGAGGCTCGCCTCTTTCTTCCCCTTCCGTGGCTGTTGAGGTCTGGAGATTTCGGAACCAAACTTGCATCTCCAGTTTTGCGGGTACCCGAAGCTTCTGTCTACACTCTGGGAAGAGCAGGTGTCCGCCCTCCCGTCCCCCCCCCCCCCCCGCCCCAGGTCTGGAACTCTTGTCGCTCAGTTCTCTTAACTGTTGTGCCCATGTTGAGCTTTTGGGTTTCTGGAAATCATGTTTCTGCAAGAACCCCACTTGTTAATGGGATCTTTAAATTATGTGTAGCTAGTTATTTTTGATGTTTTGTGCATGGTTACACCCTTTATGTCACTTCCCTACTTCTCATATATTTTCTTCTGTCTTTTAAACTTGTCTTTCAGATCGGTTATATTTTGCTACTTTGAGAAATAGACCAAAAAGCACAGTACATACCCACTATTTCTCCATCGATGAGGAGCTGGTGTATGAAAAGTAAGTTTCTATTTTTTTCCCCCTTTGAAACCATTTGGCTTCTTGGCTCTTTGGTGAAGATATACTGTGTAGTTTTATTTACTTTTTTTTCTCAGTGAGGCAGGTAGCACTTTTTTTTTTGTTTTTTAAAGCTTTAAATACTTAGGGAGAGTTGCAGGGAGAATTAACATAACGAATCTGTCAACACCTCAGTCTACTTAGATTTCTATGTATACTGGTTCTTCCTACTCCCACAGTAAGCAGCAACTGTTAGATTCCTAACACTCCCCAGAGTGGGACCGGGCTGTCACAGCTCTGTTGTTACCAGACTATCACTGGCTTGTGAGTCAGTCACCAAGTATTTATGCGGCACCCACGGGGTACTGGGCAGTGCGTGCACCACAAGTGCTTAAGCTTGGCAGTTCACAAGGCTTCTGTTGTGTCTCAGGATGTTTTTGTTTGTACAGCTTGTGTTCAGAAAGTGGGACACATGCGCTGCAGGCAGCTGTGCCCAGCTCGTATCTATGAGAGAGATTTTGCCTGAATGACAGGTTACTGATTGAGTTATTTAGGTGCCTCAAACTTTGTATATTTTCTTTGCCTTTGAAGAAGTGGTATAGGAGTCCTCACTTTCTTTGGTTTCTTTGCTTCTGTGGGATGAGGATTGGAGAAGATAAAATAATAAGGAACTGTTTTCTGTAAAAGATAGGAAAAAGGTATTTTAATAAATTAGGCATTAAAATTAATTAAAGGGAGATAAATTTTCATTCGAAAAAAGCAGAAGATAATAAGGAATAAGAAGGCTGAATGGACTTGGTTATATTCTTTTATTATAAGCGCTGGTATTACAGAAGAGCTTACTATATTATTCTACTTTAAACATTGAATTTTACTTTCTTATATAACCAATTGTGTAGTTGAATGAACATGGTTAAAGGAACCACACTTTCCCTAAGAGCTGTCCTGTTAAAAACGATTTTGGCAGTTTTGCCTGAGGATTTGTAGGTAGCCCCAGACCTTCAAAGAGCGAGCATTCTGGACCTTCAAGAGCATATTTTTTTATTTGAGGAAAAAAATCTTGAATTGTCACTCCATCATAGGGGTTCTTGAAACTGATGTCTTCAGGACATTTCTCTTAGCAGTGCTGGCATTGGATGCTTCTTGAATGGCTGAAGTGAGAGTGGGAATGAAAGAACCCTTTGCTGCTGCTCATCAATGCCCAGAGCTGTTGAGGCAAAGAGGTCTAAATCCCTGGTGTCAGGTTACAGCTCTGCTCCTAGACAGAATGGAGTTAGGCGCAGCCTGCTCCCTGACCCTGTGTACCTGGATGATGTCACCGCCAGCAGTGTTTATTGAGTGGTCATCTATTGTTAGCAATGGGCATTGTTGTGGCTTTCCCTTTGTGAGTTTAGGGTTTAGGATCTCTCTAGTGTCTGAGGTAGAGTTTGTATATGCCTTCATGTTCCATTCTGCAGTGACTAAGGTACCAGAGATTATTTTTTTATTTTTTTATTTTTTTTACCAGAGATTATTAATATGCCATTGAACAAGCTCCAGTCATTGAGGTCTGAGTCACTTGTCTTGGGATTGCTAGGTGGCAGATCTAGCAGAAAATTACAGTCAGCCAACTAAACACAGTGCACAATGGCTTTTTGATTCTAATATCGACATGTGAGGAAAAAATTTTCTGTGCGATTTTTAATGCTGGCATTTCAGGACAAGGCTGGCTACTAATCATCTGCTTTTTGTATTTATTCGACTGTATTTCTGGTGATTTTAAGGATAAGCTTCCTTGAGAGGCTGTTCAGTTCATCTTGTGAGTTTGGATGTCATTAGAAACCATCATGGGGACCCATCCTGGGCAGAGTGTGTGTGTCTTGTAGTTTGGACTTGCCCTCCCATGCCACAGCAGGGCCGCCATTCTCATCACCCCATCTCTTTTGTTACCCCAGAGTATCGTGTGGTGCTGGATGGTACAGAAATAAAATGATGATGAATGCAGAGGTTAAGAGCTGCCAAGCAGCAGGGTGAATACAGGACTGCAGCTAGAGGTATGGGGAAGAAAACTCCCCTGAGAGAAACACAGCCTCAGGGCAGAGACGGACTCACGGGATAGTGGGCATGTCTGGTGGAGGGGGTTCAGAGAAGGCTTTGTGGGGGAGCTAAGGTTGCCTTAGAGGGTGGATGGGGTTTTATCCAGCAGGGACATGAGAGGAAAGAGAGAAGAGAACAGGAAGAATGAGCGGGGAGGATCAGGACATTTGGTGAGGGAACAGTAAGCCCTGCACTATGCCTGGTGTGTGTATAGGTCACATGGGGGAAATGTGGAATATGAAACTGAGAGGTCAGCTGGGGACAGATTGATTGCCAGGGTGAGGAACCTGCAGTTTCCTCGGCATGCCATGTATGCGCTCTTGTGAGAGTTCTAGGCAGGTATGGTGTGACTGGATTTGGGCTAATTGCAAACAATAGCAAACATTTACTGAGGACCTCTAGGTGTGCCAGATGCTCTTCTAGGTGCTCCACAGAGATTCATTTTGTTTTCAAAATAATACTGTGAGGCAGGCATGATTGCCATCCCATTGCACAATGAAGAAAATAAGGGACAGAGAGGTTAGGTAACTTGTCCAAGGTCACAGAAATAAGAAGTAACAGAGCTGGAATATAAAACTAAGCCAAAAAAAAAAAGCCAAAAAACCCCCCAAAAACAAAAAACTGAGCTATTGGGGTCCAGAGGAAATATGCCCTTGTTCCAAAAATTAACATAGTAGCATCACTCAAGACAGATTAGAGAGAAGGTTTAAACCTAAATAGAAAGGTTCTGGAATGTCCAGGGGGAAGAAACAAGTACCTAGATTAGGATGATGGCCATGAAGATGGAAAGAAGGGCTCTGAATCCATGTGATGGGGCAGCAGAACAGTGGGTGAGATGTTGGGGGGTTGAGGAAAAAGTGCCAAAGAAGTTTTTGAGACAGACTGGGTGGTGATCCTGCGAGTGTCAGGAATTGAAACAAGGAAGTAGGGCAGAATAATTGGCTTTGATGGGAAGATCCAGCATTCCATCTCAGCCAGATTGAATTTAAGAAATGCAGAGGAAGTCTGGCGAGGTGGCAATGATTGTAGTCCAGGCAGGAGGATCACAAGTTTCAGCCTAGCCTGGGCACCTTAGTGACTTAGCAAAATAAGAAATAAGAAAGGTCTGGGGATTTGTTCAGTGCCAAAGGCCTGGGTTCAATCCACGGTACTGGGTGGGTGGGGAAATCAAGGCATATTCACATCACTGTTGAATATCACATAAATTTGGAGTTCTTAAATTTGGGAGTTTCCCAAGGAGATGATAAAGCTGTAAGAATGGTACAGTTTCTGGGGAGGAAGAGAAGATATATCCATCTGAATCTTACAAGTAGGACTAGGTTGAGAGAAGCAAGGGAAGGGGAAGTAAGTAGCCATATAGGTGGAGATAGACCGAAGGAGAGAGAGGGAGGGAGAGAGGCAGAGGCAGCGGAGTCCATCTCTATGGCTCCACTTCTGGGACATGAGGACTGAGTGACTGCCCGGCCTAGGAGGACATGCAGTGTCCTGGGTTCTAGTCTGTGGAGGATGTCCTGTGGGGAGAAAGGTCATGACTGTCACATCATAATGTATATCCCTCTAAGGAAAGGGCTTTCTATATATACATCACCACACAGGGCCTCTGTAGCCCTGTAAATGTGTAATTATTTGATGGCTGCTTCAATGAAATGCTGTCTTTCTAGCTAAATCATCATCTTTGAAGTAGACTTAAGTAGACTCTTTAAATATTAGGCTGCAGATCTTCTGGACACAGCAGTGTTGTGTGCAGATGTTTATTTAGTTACAAAAGGATGATAGAACTCCATGATTAAAATGACAACCTTCTGAGAAGCCAGTAGAGAAAATTAACAGTCACCTCATGAGGTGAGGCTATTAGAATGAAAGTTTGAATTTACTTTTTGCTTTTAAAACAATTTATCTCTGTAGGCCTGATGAGCTTTAATAAAATGTGTGTAATAAGATATCATACTTTATCCTTAGGTCAGAATTTTTCGAGTCAGAATTAAAACACAATACAGGCCAGTGGTGGTGAACGTATGGCACATGTGCCACGGCAGGCTATTTGTTTTTGTTGAAAGCTCTGAAAGTTTCGCCATCACTGGTATTGGCTAACATGCTTGTGGTACAAACATAGTCCCTGTTCAAGATTTATCTGTATTTGATGAAGATAAAGAAAATACACAACTCTCCAGAAAGGCCAATTCTTTGGTATTGGAACTGGGCCCTATAATCCAAATGGAGGCCTCCTTTTAATGCTCTGGTTCATGATTTTTGGCTCAGGAGTTAGCAACATCAGATATGTTGATTGTATGGCCTTTGTGTGTTCCTCCTAATGGGCAGTATAGGTGTTGGTTTCATGTTAATGGATGGAAAACTGGTCAGCAGTGAAGGCAACACCGCATAGGCAGTGATGGCGAACCTTTTAAAGCTTTCAATGATAACAAACTGCCCTGTGGGTCATGTGTGCCATAGGTTCGCCACCACTGGCATAAAGTTTTCATTTTTGGTCTTGTTCTTTTCATTTCTTCTTTCCTGGGACTTGCAAAAGGAAGGCAATGAAAAAGCAGCAGAGGTCTCTTCATGCAGATGCATAGGGAACTAGATTTTAAGCAGTTTTTGAAGAAATTTCACCAAGTGTTTTAGCATGGTACGAATGAGCAGCCTCTAATTGAAGACTAGTTAGCTAAATGGGAGATTTAAATAATCAATTTTTAAATTCAAGCTTTACAAAAACACCCTGATATACACAACAGGAAATGTTAGAAGAATGATTTAAGAATATCTGCCACATGGATTTGAGTCAAAATGTGAACACAGGACATCTTTGAAGTATAGAAAAACTTGTCTTACCTAGAAATATTTTGTGGAATAAATATTTAGGTTAGATGTAGGTGAGAAGAAACCCTTTTAATTTTTCAATTTTTATTTCAAGTTTAATATGCAGCAAG